AGCTGCCCTGTTGTGCTCTCTCTCTCTCTCTCCCTCTCTCCCCCCTGCCCCGTGTGTGTGTGTGTGTGTGTGTGTGTGTGTGTGTGTGTGTGTGTGTTGTGATGTTTGGTCCTTTCTGTTTTGAGAACAAGCATTTGGAACGTAATAGAGCACATGTTTAGAACAAATACAGACCTGGCCTGCCAGCCAATATCTGAGAAGCAAAGTGGATGTGGGAGAAGAGGGAGGCTGATGTCCAAACCAGCCTAGTCCTAGGAATCTTACAGAGATAATCCATCTCTTCTTAGGTAGTATTTTTGGCAGAGTTTGAGGGCTGGTGAAAGGAAGACAAGTTTATGTGAAGCTGTTCAGTGATCCACAACCTTAAGGTTCACAGCAAAGACAAATTTCCTTGAATGCCTTTGACCACGATGCAAAGTCGTAGGTAGCCAGAGCCTCTCAAAGGGTCCCTTGAAAAGCAGAGTCCAGGCCTGTGAGGTTAGTGGACTGACAACTTCCAGATAACACAGCAGCAGACTTGATGGCAGGCAGTTCTGCTAATGTCTCGAAGAAGAAGAAAATGGATGTTATCGGGAAGGGGATTGTTCTTTCATTTGTTTGTAGTGCTGAGGATGAAGCCCTGGCCCTTCCGTGTGCTGCGTAAGTGTTCTACCACTGAGTTACAGCCCAGCCTGAAAACAGGCACGTTAAAGGCTCAACCGAACATAGAAAGGTCAGAGGGCAGACTAGTTTTTCAGACTAGTTCTGGTCTTTCAGAGATTTTTTTTTTAAATCTGTCTTTAGTGCCCCCAAATTCTGCCTTTTAGTGAGGAGGCCAGGGGTCATTTGCTGACTCTAGTACTGATCAGATGTTAATGTATCTGTGAGTGGGAGGGAGGGGTTAGATGCTCTTACTCCACGTTAGTCCTTGCATAGCCAATGGGAGTCACTGCTGGGAGATGGTCATCTTTGAAAAGGCCAGATGAGGGCTATAAAAGCTTTGTGTGAATTGTCAGGGGGTGGGGTGAAGTCTAGGAATTTCCAGTTCATCAGGAAAGCAGTGGGTTGGTACTGTAAGGTTAAGATGTAAGAATTCATAGATAAATCATGTGTTGTCATTTTCTCAACTTTCTCATCTGTAAAATGGGGATCATTGTGACACCTGTTATCACATTCTGTCGAGAATTAAATGAGATTGTGCATGTAAACTGCTTTCCATTAATGCTCAGTACATGATAACTCTTTCTAATCTTGTCACTATTATTATGGCTGGATTTTTTTTCCATCCCAATTGATACATATGGCAGTGTCGTAAAGGCTTAGCCCATAGACTTAAGAACTATGGGACCAGAACTATTCCCAGAGTGACAGACTAAAAAAATCATATTTTTTAGAAGCATCTGTCCTTTTGCTCCATAGCCTGCCAGTGCCTGGGATTATCCAGGCCAGGAGCTAGCAGAGGGGCTTGTAAGAAGGTCTTCTCCCCTTCACATGCTCCCTTATGGACCGCTGCTTTCCAGTTTCATCTTCCCTTGAATGTTGTGACTTCCTGTTTTTTTATTACTGAATTTAATCACAATTGTTTTTTGCAAACCTCTCTTTGACCTTAAAAAAATAAAAGAAAAACAGAAAACCCCACCCTTCCGTCTGTCCAAAAGCCAGTCTACCTAAGGTTCTTGCCATTCAAGCTTTACTCACAACCGAGTGCTAGTGTAAATGTTCAGAGTCTGGGCAATTTCCCCCAAGGATTAACAGAAGTCGTGCTTTTGTGAGCGATGGTTTCTCATCCCCTCCCACGAATGATTTGTTTTCTTCTTCTAAATTCACTCTTCAGAGTCTCAGAAACCTTAGTGTCTTCTACGATCTTCTCGTTCTCCCTCAAATCTCTGTTTTCTTCACGTTGGTCCACATAATTTGTCCTCCTTGCGTTTTTTTTTTTTTTTTTGCATATTGATTGTAAGCATTAGTGTTGATTACAGGAAAAATAGGATGTAGACCCTGCATTTCCTGGATAATTCTAGAAAACTAAGGGCCAAGGCCACCATTTGTACCTCAAACCTGGCAAGTAGAGCTAAGACATTCCAAAGACAAGAAAGAGATACTCGGGAGTTTGGTTTGGGGCCCTGAGGATTATTTCCTTCTTCTTTTAGTTTGCATACATATTGGCAT